CAACCACCCCTATCGATCCAGCCGACCTTGGCGGAGGTGGCGAGCATGGCACGACTGCTCACCTGCGGCCCATCTGCCGACTTGAGCCTGCGCGCGGCGAAGATGGCGTGCGTGGCGGTACCACCCTTCCTGTCGATCCAGCCGACTTGAGCCTCCTTTGGCGAAGGTGGCGAGCGTAGGACCTCTGCTCACCTGCGCCCCATCTGTCGAACCTGCCGACTTGAGCCTGCGTATAAAGGTGACGGGCGTGGCGGTACCACCCTTCCTGTCGATCTAGCCGACCTTGGCGGAGGTGGCGAGCATGGCTCCATCACCCATCTGCTTCACATCTATCCATCCCGCCGACTGAGGCCGGTCTACGTTTGGCTAAGCACTGGAAAAGGCTTCACAGTCTCTTGATGGAGATGACAAACGGTTCCCGTTCCGACTTCCCGTCGGCTGTGAGTCGAGACTGTTGCCGTGAACTGTCGAGGTAGGTGCTGGCGCTGCTTACGGACCATCCATCATGATGACCAAGAACAGCGGTAGCGCAATCGTCGACATTGCGGAAGATATGTGAAGGAAGAGCCGCTGGTCCGTGTTGAATGGTCCTGTGAGATTTCATCCGCCCAAGGCTGATCCGGGTACTAGCGCACGGCGACATAAGGAGCGAAGAGCTCCCGGTGTTGGCAGGTAGTGGAGTAACTGCAAAGAGAAAAACAACCGCGTCGGACAGCCCAGATACGCTCGTGGAGATACCCATGCGCTGGAATTGGTTGATAAGTTCCTGGATGGCTCCCATTCAGGGATAATGTTGACACAAGGTGCGTAGTGCACCGAAACGTGGATATTCGTGCTTATAAAGAGGTACAGAACCGAAGAGGGCGGGGTAGCCAGCGGCGACTTTTTCCACTGGTTGCCCCATCGGAGGATGGTCCCGTGCAACTACGACTGGATTCCACTCGCCAGATGCTCGACAGTTGGGGAGGGCTGTGAGCTGAAGAGGCGAATAAGTTCGATACTATGCACAGTGGGACCGTCATTAGAAGGCTGTTGAAGATCACATGGCGGCTTAGTGCGCTGGAGTGAAATCGTGCGAATGCATATATACGATATACGGATCATGTGGGCAAATATGTGCACGGCTTCGAGGAGCTGCAAACGATGTTGGAGAGAGGGAGTCTAACACACCGCAGGAAGCCGCCCCGCCAACGGCGAAACTTTTGATTCAACATAGTCGCCATCGTCGTCGACCTCCGCGACGAAGCTCCCCTACCCGCAATGCCGCCAGAGGCCATGTGGCTCGAATGTAAGCTAGGTTCAGGTTTGTGGGCCGCATGTCCGGATGTGTGCTTGAGTCGCTCCTACGGCGACGATTCCATCAGCCATACCACGTACCATTGACTGATGGCGCGCTTGACGCGCCGAAGAGAAGAGTGCGGGCGCTCGCGTCCGCTCTGTCACGAGGCATCGAATATCCGCCGCGCCGCGACGGGGAGACGGGTTTAACTGAGTTGCTATATGTAGTTGATTGTTGAGCATTGCACAGGACGGGGTAATTCTACGCGCATACATACTTCTTGCCATCGAACATCGGCATTTGAGGGGGCTGAGTGGAATGAGCTTGAATGCTTATACCACTGGCATCCACTATTTCATTCCCTGTAGGCCTCGCGGCCATTGGGAGTCCGGAAATCTCCGGGCAATAACCTATGTACTTCGTGTGTGGTGATACTTATCCGACTCTAAAAGTAAGTCTACGTATACCGTCCATCTACCGAAACATTCTTGCAGCTGACCCGTCGCGGCGCTTCGCGCGCCTTCAGCTCTCCACTACAAATAAAGAACCCTCGTGACAGCTACGTGGAAGCTACTCATATGAAGGAACCGCGCTCGTTCCTTAATTCACACCGTGACTAATAATTCAGAACCGATCTATTTTGAGTCAAGTACACGAAGGGAAATACCATAGGAATGAACGACTAGGGAGGAGTGGACGCGAGTCCGTCGACCCCGAACGTCGTTCACACGCCCCCGGCACATCGCACTGACCCTAACCCGAATCTGTCCCGAGCCGGTTCCCTCGAGAGCGTCTTGTCCTTGCGAGGTGAGGATGCTGTGTGAGGCAGTGGTGTAGGGCCGTCCTGGTAGACGTTCCCCTTACAATTCAAGATGTGCTTGACTCCGGTTCTGCGCTGAAGGAGGCTGCCCTGCCAACAGTCGAACTTCTGGGGCAGACTTTATCAAGCAATGAGGGCTGCGAAGGATATTAGCGAGCATCGCGCAAGTATGGGATGATGTCATGCTGCGAGAAACAGGCGCTTGCTTGCACCCACTATCAACCACGCTTTGTTGTAACAAAGCCGCATCAAGTTCCGCCGCCTCAGAACTGCACAACCTCGAGAGCGGCGTACTCCGGCGTCGATGCTGGGGAGACTGCCTCAAGACTCAAGAGGCTCAAAAAGGCCTGACGGCGAAACGTGCTACTGATTATGCAGGATGGACATATAAATTGTATCAGATCGCACAGAGGACAAGGTGTGGTAGTATATACAAGCTCATTGACCGTCCGGTAACTCTCGAGAGTCAAATGAGCCCGATTCACTAGCATGACGTCCCTCGGAAGCGGCCTCACCATCATCACTGGGCGGGGTAGGAGGTCCCTCTCTATCAAGGTGTATCCTCTTGGACTCATTGCCCTCTGAGCGGTACCCAGATCCTGTACCCGAACTGTAATAGGACAGCGAGCTGGCCTTGCGCTTCACACTCATACCACCTCGAAGTGACGACGAGCTGTGAATGCTGCTGATCCCGGTGTCCGACTCAGCGTAATGACGATCAAGGCTTTTCCCTCGTTCAAAGTCCACTCTAACAGGCAGAGGATATTGATCTTCAGCGGGCCCATCGTTTTCCCAGTCGAGGTAGTCAGGCCTCAGCACATGGCGGATATATATCAGCACATGCTCATGCGTACACTCGGCCACGGCTTTGGCAACACTATCCTTGTGCGCAACGGCGCGCTGCTGGCTCGTGTCGTATGGAATCAATCCGTCTTCCGTTGGTGGTTTTGGAGCGTAGATTTGCTGGAACAGGAATCTGGTTTCCCTCATGAGTTGTCGGAGGCGCGTCGGTATTGTGGCAGAATCCAAAGCTTCATCGATGATTGGGTAGACACCTTGAAAAAGGCCGAGCTTGTGAGAGCCACCGGTAGATCCCGAGCCCGTGGTATTCACGCGAGTGAAGATATCGCGTAAAGCTCCATAAAGTTGTGCCTTTTTAGAAACAGGGACCGTGTGACGGTATCGCAAGACCTGCGGGAGGTTGATGAGGTGAAGGGTACATGATACTACACTAAGTGTGGACTTACGTGATGATATAGCAGATAGAAGAACGATTCAAGGTCGTCGCGCACACCGTGCACGCATCCTTTGGGATCCATGAGCATTCGAGCGGACATGAACTCCCAAGTACCCTATCAACATAGTGCATGTGAGGCTATGAAAGATTTAAGCCCGACATACAGACTCACCGTACGCCCTTTACGTCGAGCCCCGCGACCATCTACGTTCGCACACAGGTCCCAATCAATCAACAGGCCTTCAATCTCGCCTCCACTTCCAGGGACCTTATAGATGAGAACATTGCTGGAGCTGACGTCGCGGTGTAGGATATGTTTCAGCCGATATGCAGCTTCATGTGCTTAAAGATATATTAGAAGCCATATTGATTGGCGAAACTGGAGATTGAACGTACTTTCGAGCGCATGCATGAATGCAACACAGAACTGGCGCAAGGACTTGAAATCTTTCACGCGGCACCCAACTTTTCCGAAGAGGGTTACCGTCAAGACATGAGGGAGCATCTCGATGTCCTCATCGGTCAGATCGGTTCTCATAGTAGCACCGCGCCTAGCGTCTTTCAGAGCATGCTCGCGGCCATGCCGATCGATGAACGTAGAGACCCTCGTGCTCGCGAAATCGACTATCTGACCCCCGAGTGGTGCCCAGCTAGAGCCTTTCGACGCCGTTTGCTTCCACTCAAAGTACTCCTTCGCGAGTGTGCCTGAGTGACGCGGTACATCCCCTCCGAAGTAACAATCGGGAAGGTGAGGGACACCTGCTTCCTCGAATTCGCGGTACGTGTCACGCTCCTTGGGAAACCCAGGCAGATTGATACGCCAGCTGCGTTTCATATAGATCACAGCGCGCCGATCGATGTCAACGGCGACGAAACCGCGCGACGCGCGTCCGGCAAAGTAGGGGGTGGACGTGTGAACCCGATACGTTAAGACGCGGTGAAAGATGTTCGAGTGATCATCGTACACGTTGCATAGCCAGTATGTCGCGCGTTCGGAATGAAGGGTCTTGAAGACAGACTCGAAGTCGATGCCGTCCGGGAGGGTGTCGTTTGCCTCCCCCTCTTTGAAGATCGCGCGCGCATCAGCTACGAGGGTGTCGTTTATGCTGATTTTCTCGACTGAGGTATCAATGCCGCGCTCAATGTCGTTGGCAGCAGCAAAGTATTGGAGGAAGTCTGAGAGGTACGAGGTCGCGCGCCAATCAAAAAGCTCAGAAAAGCAGACTCCACTCTGGTCAAAAAAGAGTAGTCGCGCGTAGTCGGGCAGGATGACGAAGCCGTATAAGTGTGTGCGATGGCTATTCGCACAGATCGCGCGGGCGTAGCTGATGAGTTGGCCGCGAGTATGGAAAGACAGATGGCTGTCGAAGACCTCGCCGGCTCGCTGTATCAACTTGTTGCGATCTTCGGCAGAAGTGATGTGCAAGCAAGGGTCGTGGCCGTTCTTGCTTTTCAAATCGCCGAAGCAGAGTGTACAACCAAGCACTCGCTCAAGGCGCTCTTCGTCGGCGGCGGTCATCTCCATGTCGACGTCCAAGAAGGAGATATCGGGGGCAAACTTGAGGTTAATGCGGGGATGCATAGTCTGATCGCGGCCGAAGAGTTTGTGGGTGTCCTTGCAGTAGATTCCGTGTGCCGCAAGCACCGTGCTCGCCTGGATAGCACGAGCCTATCGAGTCTCAGGTAAGAAAATTGCTCGCACGTCAGAGGGCAGATGAAACCATACGAATGCAGTTTCGCCCTCAGTGGTGGTTGACACATCCGCGAATGAAATATCGTTGGGCGTGCATGTGAAGTTGGTCTTGCGGGGACGAAAATATTTATCCCAATACCCCATGGGAATCGGTCCGTACCACTTGCCTGCGCAACACATCCGTTGTTTGGCATTTGTCCACAAAAGAGGGCCGTGGAACATACCTTCCATGTCGTTAGCGTTCAACGCGAAACTCGCGTCGTTGAGTGGCTCCCCAGCGAGTGAAGTCTCCGGACCGAGAGATTTGGTATATGTTGGAGGAGTCCCTGCTAATTCGATAGCCGGGTCCGTACTCAAAGGAGGTATGAATATGTCCGAGTCTGTATGCGCCGCGGGTGAAGCAGCATAATGTGAGAGGTGACTCATGAAGACAGAAAGCAAGAAGCCTGCCTGGGAAATAGTTGCGGCGGAGCTTCTGTATCGCTATCGATGGCAAGGGCAAGGACCTATCCGGGATAGGGGTGGTGGCCGGGTGCAAAGCCGTCAGGCAAACGCACGTGACTGGCGGCCGCCCGGGTTCTCACGGTCAACCTGCTGGTGGCGCGACATGCGCAAACCTTGCCCGAGTGCGGTCTACCGTGTAAGCTCTGGCAACGTACGGCTAATCCTCTACCGATCCTCGTGTGCATGCAGTCCTGATACGCTCTATCATGTCGTCACTTAAGAACTGAGATGTATTGCAGTGCCGCAATGAGAATGATCAAGATGAGGAAAAGTGAGCTCCTTCGCAATCCATGACGCCACATGCGCCTTGATTTGACTCGTAGTTTTGTTGTTGGGTCGAACATTTGTTATCAGGGAAGGTGATCATGCATTATGTATGCATCTGATGACCTCAGATACGCGGCTTGAGGGTCTGACTAGCGCGTATTCACAGCACGTCGTCGACTTCAACTGCCCGTGCATCCTGTTTGGAAACTCGAACAGCGCGCTCAGCCCAACGCACATATCAAAGCGCTTCCTTCGTATTAGGCCTGTAGGAAAAGAAGAACGGGCGGATGGGCCACGGGTATGTAGTACTTCCTCAATATGTGGCTGCAAGGCTCAGGGGTCGGCAACAACCCACCGTCGGTATCCCGTTGCGCACGTTCTATACCATTAGACAACATGGAGGTCGATGAAGATGGAGAAGGTGCTGGATGCCACGCTATCCAGTCCGGGTCCGGGTCCGGGTACAGGCGCGGACGTGGAGGTAGTGAAAGCTGAGATCACCACGGCCGTGAGTATTCTATATTCTCTGCTTGCTCACATCGAGTTCTGACGTGGACGGATAGGGCGACATGAGCAACCTCAGATAGTCAGGCCACGATGGTGCACCACCTAATCTCAGGTACTTTGCTTTCTATGTGTTCTTATCAAGTCTTATTGAGAACGTCCAGCCCATCGCCGTTCGTACACCAGAGCCTGCAAACTTACCCCCATTCCACTCTCTTCTATCTCCAAATGGAAACCTGACATTGTGCTTCTGTGTGCTGCCTTTCTTCATCACATTGTAGGGTTTATCTATAAACAGTCTTCACACTCCGAGTCCTATACTCCCCCATTGTGGGTGTCGGTTGTTTTCCTTTCTTTCGGAGGCACTTGAGCGCATGGGTACAGTGATTTGACCTACACTCTGAACGAGCACCGATTCTACGTTCGGGAAAAATACATGAAACGAGAGCAAGTAAGATGACCCCAGACCACTCCTCGAGCTCAGTAATCGACACCCTTGGACACATTCCAGTCAGAGCGGTCTATCCAGTGTTTGAAGGCACTGGCTTCCTCGAGAGTGAAGAAAGACGTGATATTACTAACAGGTTCCAGCCTGCGGAGATAATTCCTAGGGTAGTATTGGACTCAGTTTGTCAACCATGCTGCCAAAACTCAGGCACTTACGAGTCCACAACATCGGACGCCTTGTATATGCGCGTGTTGCCCCTAGTTGGATCCATCCTGCTCTTGTATACAACAAACCACTCGTGATAGACAGGAACACTCCCGAGCGCTTCAACGGGGACTGCATCCTCGAGCAGTGTTGCCTCAGAGCCGGTCCGACTGCCGTCAAGCGTATTATCCAGTACTCTTGTATGTGAAGGGCGCACGGCCGCCTGTAGCATGGGAGTGACGTGAACATTGCGGGATCGAACTTCTTCCGGCGTGGAGTCTTGCGTTGAGCGCGGGTACGTCTCAAGCATGCGATGCTCCGTCGAATGCACGAACTGCTTCACGAGTTCCGTCGAACCACCTGGGAAGAACTTTGCGAGACGCTCGATGAATCCAGACATCTTGCAGCCTTCAAACGTGCAGATAAGATGCGAGGTATGGCATCTGCAGCTTGCGTCTGGGGTGGCGGCTTGGGAGACCGCGACGGATGTGTTCTGTCAGATATGAAGTCAGGCAGTTGCCCACATAGTAGAGGGTAGAATAATAGGGTGTATGTACCGTGTAGCGAGCGAGGCAAGACTGGGCGAGCGTGAGGCGCTCTGCGTTGAGGGACATCTCCTTTCTATAGATATCCAGCCCACGATTCACCATGTCGAATTCAAAGCTATTATGGACACTTTTGAGTCGACGCAGAAGAGTGAGATTGAAAGCGCGTTCGGCGTTGTCATGGCTTGTTCGAGCATCTTCGCACTGCCAAAGTAGAAACTGCATGACAGGATGGCTATCATCGACGCCGGATGGAACTTTGCAATCGACGTCGATGGAAGGGTCTATCATGTGGTCTTCATCGGCCTTGCCTGGAACATCCAAAGAGGGAGTTATGTGGTTGCTGGTCAAACCAAGAGATGCCTCTGGAACGGAACTTTCCAGATGGGTTATGGCATGGGTGAGCTTATTGACTGGACTTGGTGTGATTGCGATAGGTGCATTGAGAGACACTGCACCAGGAATCTCAAGAGCTATATCCTTGAGCGAACAGAGAGTTCTCGGAACGACGTCGACAACAACAGGGCCGTAAGACGCAGAGGGACGGACCGCAGTTGGGGCCGGAGACGCAGGTGGAGCGGGTGACAATTGGAGCGGCGAAGGCGGCGGCGATGATGACGGAGAAAGGGCGATAATAGGCAAGTCGTCGTCCACATTTGGCGCTCGGATGGGATCGGTATTCATATGCTGAAAGCGGTAGACCGCGCGTACAGCGGCGTGAAAGTCCGGAAAACTGTCCCATATTGGGAAACTGTGGTGTATTATTTTCGACAAACAGCGAGACCTGATTCAATGCATTAGTCGCAAGTCAAACCACCTAGGTGAAATACGAACGCGTCCAGGTAGATCCCGGTTTGCTCCCCCGAGAGCACTGCCCAGGCAGGGGTCCCCTCAACGTAATAGGAGGGAGGAATAAGCATTGGGCCGCCAATATGCGCGTCTAGAAGCCCTTAGCTACAAGACATATGCAAGAGAAGGAAGGAGACGGACCATATACCGGCATTGCTATCCGCAATGGGGGGAGGGGAACAGCGGTGGGTGATGGCTGCGGAGATGTCAAAGTTTGTTTTTATAGGCACACTGCCGGGTTTCCCAGGGACACCTGCCAGTGCATGGCGTGCCCTTACGTAACGCTGCAAACAGCCAGTCCAAGTAGTCTCTTCATCGACAAGAGAACTACTCTCCTCCGCGCTGACGCCACAGGCAGACTACATGTGACCACATCATAAGAGGCGGTCAATGCACATCCGACGAGCCATGGCGCACGACGGGGTACTTACCACATGTTGCCGCTTGCGTGAGGTTCAACTCACTCGAGGCAGAACTCACAAGAGAGATGACTGAGGCCAGGAGCGAGAAAGGAGCGAGCTGGATTACACTCATACAACACACACCTGACAGGCCCGAGTCATAAGGCGTCGTATCATGTAGCGACTCAACGCGTACGCTGTCTCAGAGTCGCTGCAGACACGCGTCTCTCGAACGTGCTACGGTGGCTTTATTTGATACCTCTGAGACGGACTGATAATATCGACCTTAAATATTGCGCGGTGTCGCTCAGTCTATAGCCGTATGCTGGAGCCGTACATTGACGGAGATGGCGAACGATCAGGACAAACAACGCCGACATTGGCCCTGTCAAGCGTGACAAGAGCCACGTGCACGCGACGCGCCGGCCTGGTCTCTTTCGCAAGCCTTGATACTTGGCCAGCCACCACCACCACCAACTTTTACTCTCGTACTTGGGCGTCACACTTAATTTCCTGGATGGCCGAAGATGACCATTCCGACGCTGAAGATGAGAGACTATTTGAGGAGCAACGCAGGGGCCGGCTTGTGCGCGCGCACGCGTTTCTAGACCTTCGGCACAATGAGCTCCAAACAGCACAATCATGCGTGCTCCAGGCCGAACGGCACCTGAAGGGACAACCTGCAAACCCAGCTCGTATTTCCAAGGCTCGCAAGATGCCGGGCATCATTCGTTCGTCTCCCCGTCATTCGCCAGGCTCCCGTGCCTACGAGGCTTATCGCGACCGTCTTCGATACGTGAAGGCGCACCGGAATCTCGCCAACGTACAGAAATCCTACCAACTCGCACTTATCAAGTACAAGCAGGTCATGGCTTACGTAGAGAGATTAGAGGAGGTGGATTATCACGAGGTGCGCATCTAAGCCTGATCACCGGTGCTCTACTAGAGTCCTATTCTGATGATGGCTTAATAGCACCAGTTGTATCCTGCAGGGTCTTGGTGTGGCTCCGAATGTGGGACAGATTCTACCGGCGACACGGACTCAGTTGCAGAGGGTCGCGCTGAGCCTGGATGTACGCTGCGCGAGTCCATGCACCAAGAGCGTAAGCTGCGGCGTGCATATCGAGGGCGCGAGCAAATGTGCTATGCGGGTTTGACAGACACCGAGGAAGACGAGGAGATGGAGGAGACAGAGAAGGACGACACGTAGCATTTGTTATTGCCCAGGATATGACAGAACGTATCGAGCACTAGCGCGGCAAGTGACTGCAGATGCAACATTTTAGAGAGATGACCCCAGTAAGACGCTGAGTAAATCAAAGGAACACAAGCATGAATGATAATCGGGGTTTGACTGTCACGCCTTTGAGAACTGTCATATCCGACGGCGAATTTGACCATAGACAACCCCGGCCGACTGATATATACGTTCGCGGCTTGCGACCATCACAATGATTGCATTGCGAATGTTATGTTCGGGTGAATTCGTCGAGGCTTTCCTCGATTACGGGGTAAACACCCTGGTATGAGAGTTTTCCAACGGGTGGAAGTAAGTATTATGCTCGCTTTAACGCGCACTTCTCATTTTGGTGCATCGTCAATGTTTCTTGTCACACAATATGGCGGCGTGGTCATCGAATGTGGGGATATTCCTCCTACATCTGCGGCGTACAATCATATCCCTAAAGGGCACCTGTAGCTCAGGCTATACTGGGTCAAGTGCCCCTTCTACATGCGCGAATGCGTTGAGGAAGGCCTTCAGGAAGCCAACTTCAGCATTGCCGAAACAACACCGTTCGAGTGTTCCATGCGTCCATATGTTTTGTTTGAATCATAGAAGCTATCAGCAGGGTTGCTCCTATGGCACGCGACCACGCAGTACTTAGCCACGTCTTGTTACGGTCGTCGACGTTCGCGAATATGACAGTACAACCACCATTTACATGGCACCACCTGAAAGGTGTTTGAGCTAGTTTTGCGCTTCGCTCGCCTTAAGCTGGTACTGTTCCTTCATGGTAGTGGCAACCAACCTGAGGAGAGATGCCACGATCAATCTCGCCAGTGCTGCCTCGTCTTCTCCCACGAGTAGATGGAGCAGGCATGTTGGGGCATGTTGGGGGGGAAGAGGTTCGTGGTGCCACACTTCACTCTGGGGAGTAAACATGCTCGACCATGGGATTCAATAACGGGTCAGAATGGAGCATGAATGAAAGGAAAAGTGCAGGGTTGCGCGTGTAGGGCACTTTCAGAACACAGGTAGATGCAAACCCGAGAACAGTGCTGCAGTATGTTGATCGGGTTCAAAAGAGGCGCAGGCGCCTTAGATTCCTCGCAAGCCATTTGACAGACCCTTGGGATCCCTGTCATATGTCGTAAGTCCCACTTAGTACGTACTCCAGGCTGGGGTTATAACAGCAGAGCGGGCGAAGCGGTGGCAGAACAATATGATCATACATATGACGCCCTCTGTACCATACCAACAGGCTCCGAGTCCGCAGATAATAGGCTAAACGCGTTGACCGAGAGTGAACGAAGAGACAGTGCGAGTATAAGTACAGAGCGTATGTGCCCAAGAGAAGAGACCATTGCCGACCCGAAGGCGTAGTCCAGATAAGGGAAGAGTGAGAGGCGAGACGATGGCGGTTTGAACGCAAGGAATACGAACGCGCTCGCTTCCTTCCGGCGGCTCGGCTCAGCTTGACGCGTGACGTCACGCTGCCTATGTTCGGGCGCCCACGTACCGTCCGACTGCGAGGGAACAGTGGGCACGCGGTCTTGACGACATGTTGACAACTTGTGAGTCCTTGAGTACGTAGCCCGGAAGTAGCCTTTACAGAGAGATAAGAATGACTGCTATCCTATGACGACGTTTCAACGAAACGACTGAGTCTGATTTGGACATTACTCAACCTTCTTTCGGCGAAGCTGCGTCCGCGACACGCGCAGGAGTGCTTGGGCGCGCTCGCGAGTTGTAGTGCTTAGTTGATCGGCGTGCTTTCAAAATTCAAGCACCTGCAAGCACAAGCTGGTGGAGACGCGGTAAGAACTTCGCGGTCCCGCGTGCCGCGATAGTATTCCCAGCGGATCGATTATAATTCCGGAGCCCGGACCGACGCGGTGCGGCGGGGAAGCCGTCTTCTGTTCTCGCCCGAGTCTTGGCTCTGCACCACGATGACCCGCGCTGAGAGTCGTCAACTGCGCTGTTGGACGGGACCGGTTACAATCGTCTCCTCTTCTAGTCTCAAGGCTAATTCAAATGCACTCTACGCTACTCTACGGCGGGATCTCGATCGCAATGGGAAGAAACGCCTGCGGCGAAGAGCCCGAGAACCAGCTTGAGGCTCATGGGTTCAACCCGCAAGCATCTCGTCTGCCCTCGGGCGCCGCAGGCTCTCAAAGGACAGCGTCGGTCGTCAGCTTGAGCGCTCACGTCTCCGGTCTCGGTCAGCGCTCGACTCGAACCTCCTCGAATCGATCCTAGTGGCTC